CCGCGCCGAGCTGAATCGAATGGTGGCCTTAGATTCACAATTCGTCCACTCTGAAGCGAGATATGGCCACGCGACGCTGATGTATGGACATGTCCATACATGTATGGACATGTCCGTACATGTCCATACATGTCCATACATTCGCGTCTTTTTTTCAAAAGATGTGAGCGGTATTGTAAATATGATAGCAAGCATAGTGGGGAAATTGCTTTATTGCTGCTCATTGATATATCGTGATAAAAGTGATCTACTTTTTGTTGCTTTGTGTTTGGAACCCAGTCTTTTTAAATAGTTACATCAAACAAAAGTCAGCTTTAGACTGTCCTTGTGGTGTTTACTGAACTTCTGTGACAGATATTTCCATTTTCATTTTCATTTGTGCACTCAAGGCGTTCCATAAAAAGAAAACAGAGCGAAAAGTTAGATACAGTGGAAAAACAATGTCATGTCAATTCGAGTCTAATCCCAGTGAGACAAATGTAAGAACCATAGGAAACGGCTTGCATCGATAATATGGCAAAAGCTGATAGAAATATAGACAAGAAACTTATATTTTTTTGGAGATAGGACCTATATAAATAAATAATAAAGGGTTACTATTAAGCTTGTTTCGCCTCTACTCCTATACAGGAATACAATAAGTGATAACCACTCCCGAGGCTCTTCAGTAGGGAAGAGTGGTTAACTAACAATAGCGGTATACTGCTGGAAATTTATACCAGTTTGGTAGGGCAAGAGATCACAAGATCAGGAATGATCTAGTCTATCTATTACGAATTTAACGAAATGTTTCATATTTTTGAAAGACTGAAGCTCTATATATTTGTATGAAATACATTTATTGAATGTGAAGCATTTTATAAAAGCATTGATGATTATATTTTGTGTGTAGTCTAATTCCTCTAGTTGTTTTAAAAGCATTAATAGTCTATGTAGAAAATTATCAAATTTTGTACATGTTCTATAAATCCTTAGAATTTCACTGTATATAATGGATGTAACGTTAACACTTATGTGTGAAGACGCATGTGCAAATCTATTAACTTTAAATGTAAAGTAATCTGTTTTATTGTACTGTTGCGTAATAATTTTATTATTTACAATTCTTATATTTAAATCAAGAAAGTCATTCTAATTCGCTTTGGTGCGTATTTTTCAACTCTAATATATTATTGTAAGTGTCAGTCAACCATTTACTTATCCTCTTCTCTTCTAAATTATGTATAATCAGTAAATCATCCATATATCTGAAAGGTTTGTACAAGATATCATTTTTATGGTGATTAATGGCAAATTTATATTCAAAGTAAGATAACGTCAAATCTGCAAGAATAGGGTTGGCATTACCTCCTTGTGGAACTCCTACTTTTTGTATAAATATGTGATTTGCAATTTTGCAATAGCTGTTTTCTAATAGAAGCTTTTCTAATGTTTTCTATTATATCCCTCGTTGCCAGCAAAACGATCTTTACTTTATTCCTAAAAGCAAACAGGCATTTTATAAGGCAGGTCTACTATCCGTGGTATGATGGAGGCTTAGTGACCCCCAAAAAGGTGAGCACATTTACCTTCAACCGATTTGGTCAAATAGGTAAGCTGTAAGATCAACATGCTAAATAGACGAAGCAAATCACACTCGAAGTGAGATGGTGATAAAAGATATGTTAATTAGTTGGAGCAAAAGTTGTCAAGATGCAGACTTTTTGAAATATCCTTGAGGAGGAGACTTCGGAATGTGCCGCAGAGGTACTTCACGGAACATTCGATTGTCCCAATAGTGTTCCCGGCAAAGTATTTCATTCTTCTTTCTTTAACATGCTTGGCCATACTGCAAGTCTTGGATAGATGTTCCTCAGTGCGGCCTCCTACTAGTGATCGTTTTCTTTGTTGCCTCTTTCTCGTTGAACACTTTTTTCCAGGATATAGTAATTTACTCTGATAAGATGGAAGCGGTATTCGAAAACGCAACACGCATAAGTATCTTACGGCTCCATAACTGAACAAAAATATATGAATCAGTGCAGGTTTCGACAAAACTTAACCTCATGGAGGAAGTTCCGGAAGCTAAAATTACTTGTTGATCTACCATTTGATTCAACTGGCTTGGCTTCGGCAAGGCGGGGTTTCGTGACCTAATTAAGGCTAGCTAATGATCAGAGAGCACTCGCGCGAGAGAGGTGCAGGTGCGTCGCGGGCGCAAGCGGCCTTAGGCCTAAGGCATACCTCACGCGATTTTAGTCGCCGCGCGATTTGGCACTGCAGCGACTCTCCATAGCTGGTCGTAGAGGCACTTTGCTTGGGCCAGACTTGCTGTGTTTGTTACAATTTACGGAATCTACGCACTCATGCATCTGAGAGCCTCGCATGCTCAATCTCTAGACATCTGGCAAATTGCCAAATCGCGAGGATGTGACGATTTCGCGAAATCAGAGGTATGCTTTAGGCATTAGGCTCCCGCCAGAGTGCAGAAGCCACGCCAGCGCTGCGCCGGCGCCGAGTCAGCTCCGAGCTAGCGTCGAGCTGTCCCGGTGCTGTTTCGATCGATACACGTGCATTTCGTTGAGGCGGGGCTAGCTGACCTAGTTCTCAGCCAAGTAGATGCACCGACTATTGATCGAATCTGCCAGAAGCTCCGGTAGCCCTTGCCCGCACAGGGTCAGCTAGCCCCGCCCCAACAAATAGGACAGCTCGACGCTGGCTCGGCGCCGACGCAGGCTGGCGTGGCTTTGGCACTCTGGCGGGGGCCTTGATTAGCTCACAAAGCCCCGCCTTCCCGAAGCCAAGCCAGTTGGATCAAAGGTTACATTTAGTGAGCAGAAAAATGTGCGGAAAACGAAGTCAAAAGAATAGTACATCTGGGACGATAGTTAGTGGAAAAAATCTAATGTCAGCACATGGACAACCAAATTCCACATGAAATTGTCTTGCCTTCTATGGCGAATGAGGATGGGTGGCGTAGTGATATAAGGCGTTGCAATGATCAGGTTGACCAAAGTTCGCTAGCGTCCTCGGGTATACCGGGTCCTCTACCTTCAGGAGACGACCCATTCAGTAGCCTCGTCGACTATTGAGTAGAATGCGCTCGGTGCGTGCTCACAGAGGGTATCAAAGATGTTAAAAGCAAGTGGCCTAAGCACTTTTGTCTCTAGCCTAAGTAAAAATTCGTATGCCGTAAAAAAGACATGAGTAGGGTTGAAGGAAGGACCTTTTCGACTTCATTTAGATTTCGTACAACAAGGATTATACGGTTTAAAGGCAGTGGATCGGCAAAATCCAACAACTCGGGATTTTAACGCGGTAGGTTCCTTATCGCCCAACTATGAAAACAGTGCAATCCCGGTTGCACAACATGCTTTCCTTGCCGAGAAAATCGCTCTCAGACTCAAACGCGCAGGCCAATCTTACACGCGTCTGGACGAGTTGGCAATTTCCTTCGCACCATTGGAGGCTGCCCGCCGCAACGCTATAACCATTGGGGGGTGGCGGTCAAGAATAACGATAGCTCTGCCAGCCGCTAGCTGCCAGCTGCTCGCGCGCGCACAACAGCCCGCCCTCACTCATTCATTAAACTGAAAAAAATGATTTAAATCTCAGTTCGTTTCATTTGAAATTTGTTTTCCCAATCAACCATGAAAGCTTACATATTTCACATGCTAAACTAAGCTTAAAACAATTTTTTCGCGTGTTCATAGCGATGTAAGGCTGACCATTTTCATCCTTAGAAAATAGCAGAAGCTTTAACATAAAGCATGAATAAAGAAGAACAACGCTTTGGGCATTCACTGCCACAAAATGTACTGATTGCGTGAGCTCGTCCGCTGCTGGGGGTGTGCTACCTGTATACCATTTATTGACATCTGGGCACTCAGGGCGTCACTATTGCCAGCTATCGTTATTCTTGACATATACCCACCATTGGGTCCTCCCACAATTTAGCGTCATCGGCCTTGCTCCACTCGTCCAGTATCAAAGGGAAGGGCATTGAAAAACGCTTATTTTCGCCGTTTTCAAGCTTTCAAAAGTGGATTTTCGGAATCACCGTACTGAAAAACCCCAAGTAAGCACAAATTTGACTAGGTTGAGATTTGCCGAGCCACTGCCTTTAATTCATCATGAGTTGAGCTATCGAGATTTTGGATCACTGAGTTAACAAACTGTATATCAATGTTTTATGAACAACCCCAGAAAAGAGGGCGGTCAAAAAGGAGGATTGTGAATTATTTCAATTCTTGTGTTTTCACTTGCGCTCTATGGTTTAGTATCACAATGATAGCCAGAAACTGCTCACTTCAGAAAAGGTGAGACCGTTGGATCTCAGAAAAGATCTTGAAAAGGTAAGCGCCCGAAGTCCCGATAGAGAGTATGTGCCTGAGAAAGTAAGGAACTCGTAAGACCTTTCTGGACAGAGATACATTTTATCTCATTTCGATGCATTCAGATTCTTTTAGGCTTTGGCTTCAAACTTTATGTAGAACAAACTTTGGTTAGATATTTGGGTGCGATCTTGTAGAACTTGCTTTGCTTTATCGAACAGTTCCCCTCATGCGTTTTTAGGGTTCGTCTCTTTGCGGTGCATAGCAAGCAAATAAAAAGGGCTATTAATTTCTGGCAACCTAATAATTTCGCTGAATGCAAGCAAATCTTGGATATTATTGATCTTCTGGTTTTGAAAAGCGATGGATATAGTTCATCTTTAGAGAGTGAAACTCGGTATTACCAACAAAGCGTGGTTCAGCAATTGTCAGAAGGTCTGGAATGATCCTCAGAGTAGACCAGGAGTTTTAATAGTCGAGACATTAAGATTCTCAACTGCTTTATTTCGATGGCTTTGGACTTCTCAAATGTCATCTCCTGGGGTTATTGCATCATTCCAGACGAAAATTCTCGTTAGTAGTCTCTTCTTTTTTGAAGCTGGCTTGAGCAGCTGTCTTCCTTATCGAGTTAACTCTTTCATTTTGAAAAATTCAATGATAAGCGAAATTTGCAGGTGTGCCGCTACTATGTCTAGTTTGCACAGCAGCACACTCAGAGATATAAGCAATGTCAACATTCTATTTTTATCCCGATGTGTCCATTTACGTGGCGAAGCCCTATGGAATGTCAAAGGTCGTATTATAAATAGGAGAAATGATACAGGTGTGGTGGGATTTAAAGCGCAAAGTTGTTTGAATTATTTTTTTTTGATAGCTGAAGAATTTCGATTTTTCTATGGACGTTTTTGAAGGTTTGTTTTGTATTTATGCATTGTAAGGAATATGGAAACCAGGACGAGGTGAAGAAGAAGACGAAAAATGGCTTACTGAAGGACAGAAAAGCACCTAAAGGTTCTGCAAAGAAACATTAAGAAGACTGGCTACGCAAACGGTAATAAAAAAATTTTGTTGCTATCGTTAGTGCCTCGTATCAATCGCGTATGCAGTGGATTTGGCATCCAAGTGTCAAAAACAGTTTATTTTAGCGCCTTCTGGTGAATATAAAAAATATGTCCAAACCATTCCAAGTGTCGCTCTTTAAAATGTGGGGAAGCACTAGGTTTTTCAAGGCATTAGCTTGTGCCTTGGAAGGAACATTGCTAACTGATTGTTGCTGATACACGGAAAAGAATAAGTTGAACATAGCATAAAAACTTCTACTTATCAATTATCCTGCTAAATCGCTGAAGATAGTAACTAAACACGCCTTCAGAATCCATGGAATATGTACTGGAATGCATAAAACTGTGCCTGTTGCACATGGCGCGACCACTAAGAACCTGGTCTGAGTTCTGATATTTATGAATCTAGAAAAAGTGTGCTGTGATTACCCTATTTTCTGGTGTTTGAGCACCTTTTCGAATTTTCAAACGAGCTGCTCAGCCGCCTCCATATCTTTCGGAGAGCGATCCTTAGGCCTAAGGCATACCTCACGCGATTTGGCTAAATCGCCACTTTCACGCGACTTGGCGATTTGCCAGATTTCTACAAATTTATCCTGCGCGCTTCTCGAATGCATAGGCGGGTAGCTTATGTAAGTCGTTGCAAATGGGTTCAATTCTGACCAAAGGAAACGCACTAACGACGAGTTACAGAGAGTCGTTCTTATGCCAAATCGCGCAGCGACAGGAATCGCGCGAGGTATGCCTTAGGCCTTATGCCGCACGATTCTTACGCAACACAGTATAGGGTCCTTTGGTTGCTAAGTCCTTTTTCGCGTTTGGGTTGCTCGATTTAAAAAAACCATCCGCAGTTTATGCACCTGAGAATAGGGTACATGGTAAAGAAAAAAGATTCAAACTTCTTCACACAATGATTCATAGTGCACCATAAGCAAATTCCACCGCAAGAGTTCAGATCATCTACATTTCGTAGAACGTTATTATGAATATCGGAGAACGCCATTCTTATGTCCTACTCAAGGGTCTTAGGCACCAGACGATTGAAAACTACAAAGTCGTGTTGACAAGTTCCAACTTTGTATAATGTGCACGGCGATTGTAACTTACAATCTGTTATGATCAGGGTACGAGCTGGCACCAAAAAATTTCTAAAACGAAGTACCCCTTGACTTTCGCTAAGATTCACGAAATCCTTTTTGACCCTAAACGCTGAACTTAAGAAACACTAAAAAAGAAAGTTTAAAAAAGAAAACGTAGCAATTTTCTGCAACAAAAACGATATCTCCTTTGCTTTTGCCCCAAAAACGATATCCAGCTTGCCCGTGCCAGCTGATGCCAGGCCCTGGTTATGATCTACTGTATAACGCTGATCAACAGTGCTCTTTACTGAAAAATGGCTAGAAAAGAAAACAAAAGACTGCGCATACGACTTTTTGTGTTAAAAAATACGTCTGTAGTTTGCTCTTTATCCATTTCCGATTGTTCAATGTTATCACAAAACCTCCCAATTTTCTTAGAAGCAGCCATAGGACTTTAAACCTACGGATTGTGAGAAGTTTCCAGCCGAAATGTGAACATTGACACCTTAGTCTATGTATGAGGCATTCCTCACTGCTACTCACCTGGCATCGCAGCTTACATATGCAGCTTAGCATTGACTTGTATCGTTCACGAAGGGCACATTATGCTTTATGAGGTCTTTCGCTCATACATTATTGGATACCAGCATTCTTCATTATTCGAATAATTGAATGACTGGCCCTATATCAGCGTGTATCAAAATGGTATACCCAGAGCGTCTTGATGGAGATTTAGATGTTATTTTCTCTCAAATATGACAAGTAAACTTAGGAAGATTCGGTAAAGGGCTTAGTTGGCCCAGGGGCTGGGATCGAACCTGTGTTCGATCTGGTCATAGCGGCGCCTCATATCACTACGCCACTCGTCCCCAGAATATCATTCAAAAATCGAAAATTTCGAATATTCGACTATCGAATATTATTCGAGATTGGACATTTTTGAATCGAAAAATATTCGAAGATCGAATCGCGTCAAAAAAGCTCTTCGGCTAACCCAAAAGGTGAGTGTTTGGCTAAATGCTAAATGCTACCAGCTGAGCCAGTGATCAAACCTAAGTCTTAGCGCTTTGCTCACTCTGCTGCAGAGACGTTGTCGAATGGATTGCAGATCGTATTACCCATTTCAGGCTCTGAAGAAGGCGATCTGCCGAAACGTTAGCCTAATAAAGTTTCTAACAATCTCGGATACGGCTCACAAGAAGACACAGAAGATAATTCGAAGATCGATTATTATTCGGTTCTCGAATACTCTTCATTTTTCGAATATCATTCAGTTTTCGAATACCATTCGAATGTCAGTGAGAATGCCTATGAGAGACCAAGACATCTAATAATAAACTGTTTTATGTGGGTATCAAGAAAAGACATTTTTATGTTGAAATTTAAGATGAAGATACGGTTGAGTGGTGACATGAAGAGACTTGAAACCTAAAACGTACTCCTGTGACGGTTGTGGAAAGATTTTTCGAGCCCTGAGAAAGACTAAACCTCTTTGAGAGTTGTGGATTGATATACAGGGGTCCCAACAGTATGTAGATCTGTGTGTTGACATCAACTTAGTCTTACAGTATGGAGCGATTTATCGATTGTTTTTCACGTCTTACATTAGACTTCTAAAGACACTCACCATATACCTTTCAAAAACGTGACTGCATATTTGAAATACTTGAGAACTCATGCATAGTAAAACGAGCATGCTTAAAAACTCTGTTACACAATTGGATCTTTTTCTGGGGAAATTATTTTGTCTTATTTCGCAGTTGCTGTATATGCTGAAAGTTTTTACTGTGATAACACGACAAGAAAAACATGGGTGATTCTCTTGCTGCATTTATAAGCTGAAGACATCCCTACAGGATGTTACCCAAAGGTTGGCAAAAGACTTCGTGAGAGATATCAGCGATAGAACAGTGTGTAGATACATTTGAGACACTTTGCTGCTATATGCTGTCGATATCGATTTTTCGATTAGTCAATTCTTATCGAATTTTCGAATATTGGGTGCTCATCGAATATTCGAATATTCGAGGGAAATCCAAAGATCGAATCAATAATCGAATATTCGACCATTGAAAGTCATTCGAATTCTCAGATTTTCAAATATTCGAATTTTCGAATCATTCGCATTCGAGCGATTTATTCGAATAATCGAATAATCATTCCATTCTGTCCAAAGTATAATGACCAGGCTTTTTCATGGACCGTCCGTAGTGGAAAGAGGAACGATTACCACCGATAGGCACCAAATCCGTGAACAGAACCGGCTTTTTTGCAGCCTCTACATCGCAGCAGCTCGAGATTTCCTCAGGGCTCGGCAAGAGGTGGCTTTCCGAAAATGCAAAAAACGAAGCCCCCCCCCCCTTGACTTCCGCAAAATTTTACGAAGTCCTCCTTGACCCTTATCTAAAATCCGAATCGGCTAAAAAACGAAATGTCGACTAGAAAAATCTCATTCCGGACCCACAAAAACGATTCCTTTGATTTTTCTTCCAAAAACAGCTATTTTGGTGGGTACCAAGTGATTAGGGGGTAGACGAGTTGTGAAATAAGGTTTATTCGCACGGGCGTAGATTATTCGAGAAGAGATCGTGAGGTGTCCCGGTGTGGACCGGGGTGTCCTGGACCGGGGAGCAACCTCTAATACATTCGGAGGCTCCTTATATAGGAAGGAAGGCGGAGCTGAACCGAGTAAAAGGTACAATGTACACGAGTTGGTGCTTGAAAGGAGGTGCCGCCGATTGGCTACACTCCTGGCGCACGGGTACCACTCACTCTTGAGTGATTAGATACTCAAGAGTGAGTAGCTCACAATTTAGCCTACGGGTATTCCGTAGGCTATCTAGAATATAGAGTTCATCAATGGTTGATGATACAGAAATCATCAACACTCCGGGCGAGCGAGAGGAAAGTGAGATCTGGTAAGATCCTAATTAGAGTGGCAGATACATGTGAGGTTGACAAGCGAATAAGTTAATACCTACGCATACACAAAAATGAGCTATGAAGGAGGATTTGCAAGTAACTTGAACATACACACAAGAGTACAATTATTAACGTAAATTTATAAAAGCATCTGAAGTGGTCGCTGGAGAGGGTGGGCGGTTTGGCGCTGATTGTCGTCCTCGCCATTTCCTCCTCTTCCACTTTGAATCGGTAGTTGCTTCGTTGACGACCATATCCTTGATAGACGGCGTTCTTACATGATGTGTGTACTCATGATGTCTTCTCTTCGGTGTATTCGTCGTCCATATCTTGGCTTCATTGTTTGTAAACCGCTGCGGTAGCCATTCCGTCCCATATCGGGGGCGGACATTGGAGTTCGTCGTGGAACGTATTGTGGCCAACCAACGTTGTCTGTCTGCTCGAGCTTCAGCGAGGATGGAAGCATTGACTGTTGACCTTGTAAAGCTGGATTGTCGGCTTTTGGATGAAGAACATGGTTGTAGCATCGCTCGTGACGGAATCGTTCTCCTTTGGATTGTTCCTTCATTTTGCTTTGGCAATAATGGCTTGTTGCATGTTCGAGTGTTCGCACGGTGGAAATGAGAGTACGCTTTGGGTTTCTTCAATCTCTCGTTGTGTTGTGGAGTTGGGCGGTTGTTCCTCAGTGTTTTATTCAGCGCTGATATGCAGCCGAATGTGCCGATGAATCTTGATGTGGTGGTAGTGCCGCTCGTCCCTGATATAACGTATCCGAAGATGGTTGGGGTCAGAATGAGCCCTGAAGGAAGCTTGCGCACTCTGTCGTTGTGGATAGCGACGAGGTTTAGGAGATCTTGTCCTATGATCATGTCGGGTGAAACGCTTTTGCAGGAGAGCGTATCTTGAGCGATTATCAGCTTTTCATTAGAGATAAAACGCAAGTCTGT